TGTTGCCTTTCGATAAGCACTTTCCACTGTTGACTACGGTTACTTTGTTAGCTTGAAGCTTTTAATTTGACTGGTTGGTGAAGCCTTTCGATACATGTATGTCGGTGAAATAGACCTTTTTACGTGCTCTATACATAACTATTGACATTTTTTTGCAAATAAGTTTTTATGTACATTCTACACACAATTTCAAACTCAGGTGCTATTGTCGGAAACAGCACATATATGCACAAAATTATCCGGATAAGCAAAATTTTTGCCTAAATAAGTGAGGGGTGTTTCTAGCGGAAGAGTGATACCGTGAGATATAAACCGATACTTCCCGTCTTCCACGAGATCAGAAGAAAGTGACGCTAGTGCGTGTGACAGGGTTCGAGGCTCGCCGTTCTCATCGTGCGGTGGTTGTGGAACCTGTAACATTCCAACATTGTACATTTTCTTGATACTTCCGCTAATACATTGCCGTAGAATGACATACTTGACGGAATGGCTGCCCAGTGATGTAGAGCCGAATGGGAATGTCATGGAATGGTCGCTCTTCGGTACACTCCATGAGACGCCGGTTAATACTCCAGAATTCATCGAAGCGATCTTGAAAGGAGAGATGAAACGAAAGCTACTTATTGACGACGGAAGCGACTCACCATGTACAAGTCCTGACCAGAGCTGTTTGTGTTCGTCGATTTTCATAGTACTTACTACCTGAAAAAGAACTTGTCTACATGGAACTGGTCTACAAAGTTGACTTCACATGCGGTTTTGAGTACTCCTTCAGGAAACTCGTCAGTGAACGACGAGTTGCAACAAGCCAATTTTTTGCTATTCTTATTTCATGCTGCAGAAACAATCCTAGTGCAGTATTATCGGCTCGATCTGAGGTCAGGGTGAGTAATGTGTCGAGGAAATTTTGGCCAATTTCTTTCCTCCTCAGTGAAAATACAGTCCCTAAGGAACTAGGAGGGGAGGTATATGCGACCGCCAAATAGCAGATGCGACGCTATTTTCCCACACTTCGCTATCCTAGTGTCTCAAAATGTACAACGCAACTCTCCTCAAATCCCACACCTTCTCGCCTCCACGCTTCCACAAGGCGAACACAAATTTTCGGTGAGGAATCCTCAAGGAGTGCCACATCATTTTCCTAAAATGCAACAGAACCGACCGCTACCCGTTCGCGCCACATGAACAAACGCGTTTAAAGAGCCCATGTACAACCCAGCGAACAATGCTCATCAATATTCCTCACCCGATTGGCCCTGTATACACGCTAAATTTTTAGAGGTGCTAACTTAGTTGGAGGAGGGCGGGCAGCGCGAGGCGGCGGCACGGCAGCTCTGATCCACTGGCTAGTCTCTCTCGAGCGAGGAACCAGATGGGTAAACGTCGAACATTCGCAGCTTTTCACGCAGTAGTTAGGTGACTGCCCCACACCCTAAGCAGAGAGACTGCCTACATCCCCCCCCTCTGGCACCTCGGATTCCCAACTGCCAGGCTCGAGAGGACGTCTGCGAAGTACCGCAGCCCGTGCCCGGCGTGCCCCCCCCCCACCACCTAATTTGAGCACAATTCTTACGGTAAGATTGTCATGCTTGCATGCGAAAACTACATAGTAATGAAGAGTGGCGACAATAGTCGAACCTGATCCTTCCGACGTTTTAGGTAGTTTGCTTCCTTCAAAGACTGCATAAATATTGATTCCATTGTGTCTTTCGACACTAATGAAAACCTCCTCCTCGGCAGAGGGCCCGCTCAGTTGCGTGCGAATTAAAAACAACATGAACAAACATATTTGCGACATTGACTGTAAACTGATCCCACTATTCAATACATGTTATGTCGGCGAATCATGGAGGTTGATAATACGAATAATAACCCCAAACGGCCGATAGGTACGTTTGCAGGTGGTACCCCGTTGGATTGGCGGCAGCCATACCCTCTTGTGCCGCGTGTGGCAATTCACCCAGCTTTGCTCTACGAGGCGGCTCACTTCGTTCCGCAGTATCTATTAAGCATATAAAGGGATGTGACATGAATACTCTTTGGGTGCACTCAGAACATAATCACCCTTGTAAGATGAAGAGAGAAATAACTGCATCGTGGAAGCATTGCATAACATGGTCGGCAAGCGTCACCAGAATCATCATCACGCTCCACTAGGAATTCGATAGGTACTGCTGCTTCCCATATTTTACGTGACACCTCGTAGTCGAACTCGCCAGCCATTCGCTATCCAGCAAGTTATCAAATATCAGATTAGAAAGATTTTCTGAGAAATCTGAAACACTAGAAGTACACTGAAGTAGTGATCCTGGACGATGCATACTGCTTAACACTGCTGAATCGTAATTACCCTAAGTCTAGCTGCTGTTATCAAAATGGAGAGGTCGATGTTGACAACGTTGAAGGGTTTGTTTTTGAAAGAACTTTTCAAAAAGAAAATTTCGAGGGATTTTGAAAAAAAAATTATTACTCTCTTTGCATGTACACCTCGACGGGTATATTCGCGTGCTTGGAAGTAAAGGAAAGCTCCTACACAGAGTGGGGCATAAATATGGTGACAAAGTAATTCTGGTCCATCCTCAACCTGGTACGCCGAAACTGAATATCAGTCACATCAGCATTCAACCATATTCCAAAGCAATAGATGGATGAAGCAATCGGAGCTGATCAATCCAATCAGGGATGCACGAAAAATTCTATTTTCGTTCAGAATCATGCAGCATTCAGGATGCGAAGTAGCGTCCCACCGTAAACGGAGTAATGACTGAACATCAGGCCTGTCAGACAGCAGTGCGTCAATCTCCATCCATACCCTTTAGTGAGCATATGGACTCAAACCATTCTGCATAACAATGTAGTATTATTGTTTATGTCGACCTATAGAGTAAACCTATGCTGTTGCAACAATCAGCATCCAAAATTGACAACAAGTTCACCCGTACATCCGGCTGTATTGAATACACTAGGGTGTCCCAGAAGTCCGTGCCAATTTTTTGCACCTATACCAGAACTTTATTTAGCGATTACTAAGTGTAGTGAAGTAGACGACAAGTAACTTATAAACGAATCATGCCCTCCTAGCCACTTCTGAGTTCAAAACGGAACTACTCAGCCACAACCTGTTGGAAGCTAGGAGTAGCACTTTCTTCTACAGATCCTTGTCCTTGTCCAATGCGCGATATCAAAATGGTTAGATCACCTACGCTCAGGAAACTGCGGCCTGGAAGAAAAGGGTGGTCCAAAAGGCAATCGGTGTCCGACTAAAGTTGCTAGACCTGACTGCTATGCTCTCCCTTTGGAACCCACCTGTACGAGTTACTTTGCTATGTGACCACAACATTCAGATGTTTCGGATACACTGATTATAGAGATATGCTCTCCTTGGAAGTTTATTTGAGGTCGGATAAAGAAATTCTCATGAATTGACTAGTAATCAGAAGAGTGCACGACTCACTCTATACATTCTATACTCTACCACCCCTGCGTGGTGGATACAGCGCAAAATATGCCGATGAGAAGTGGAGTTCTATGCAAACCAGGTGCATCAGTGGTTGGATCGAAGAGAAGGCGGTGAAAAACCACCGAATTCAGCAGTGTTTTGGTCCACGTTGGTAAGCTGTTTGCAACCAGCCGCTAGAAGCTACTCCCTGTCTTCGGTCTAGAAACAAGCCGGGTCTTCTTCTATAATCAACGCCTGAGGCCGATGAGGAAACCCCAGCTATCTAATATGGCCAGATTCAACAAAGTATATTCCCTTCGACTTCCGAAGTTACGAAGGGTTACCAAATCCACCGTGCTGCGAAGATCCCTACTGCCACCTCCTTTTGTTGCTCCTTTCCTAATACAACTTAAGGATGAACCTCGTAAGCGACCTCGCCGCCTTTTCCAGCCTAGAACCGCCATCCTTGGGTACACGGCAGCGATTCTTCGGTTAATCGCTGGCCACAAGTCAGTGATAGAGATGACTTTCATATTGATCATGGACACTGCTTTTTAAATGAAACACCCTAATATAAATCCTCCAAGGTAACTGCACAGAATTGGAGCTGTACTCAATGGCTTATGACCGTGTAGGTGATGCACACAGATAGGAAATTTCTTTATGAGCATTGCTCAAATAAAAATTTCAATGAAAACACTGAGGTGATTGTGAAATTTAAAAATCAGAATAGAGCTAATATATTACACCATAATTTATCACTTTGCTTGGCGGTGCGAAATTTCACTCCGCTGATGCACAACAACAGTAACAGTAATAACAAGACAACAAGAAAATTATCACATAAAGTCGTAGTGGCCGAAGAGACTGGTAAACTCATCATCACCTACGGAGCTATGTAGATCTAGATTGGAATCGAGGTCATGAGGATGGGTTGTTTCCGAGATCGAAATGTTTTGCACGGCAGAGGAATTCGGTTGATGAACGAGATCTTCTTGAGGAAAGCTCAGAGTAGGAACGTCTTCGCCAAGATTATCAGCATAAGGAGAATCGAAAGAGAGCAGCCCCTCATCTCCGGGTAAATGTTCCGTCGAAATCGATATATTCGAATGGAGCGGTAACAGCGGTTCGGAAAGAACATGTGGCTGAGCTTCTTGTACTGCTTGAAGCGAGGACTCCTGCATCCTTTTGAGTCGGTTTGCATGCCGCTTTGCCGCTGATTTTACAAGGTATGAGCGCACCTGAATTGCAAAGCAGTTAAGTCGTGAAGGTATGCAACATATTCGAAATCATCACTAACCTTACTCTGAACAATAGCATTCAACCGCTCCTCCTCCGCTAAATTCGAATCCGTGGCAGGAACAGATTGTGAGTCAGAAGTGGAAGGACCGTCTTCCCCTTCATACCACTCCTTGCCTCCCGAAGGATCCTCTTCACTATCCGCGGTGACAGCTGATGTGCACGCCGGCACTTCACTTTCTTTTTCACTCGCCGACAGGCTTTTCTGTAAACATTCACTGAGAACATAAATCCATGAAATTGTATTCATGAGTATTCAATACTGTTAAAAGAACCTACAAGTATAGCTTCAACACGTTTCATAAACTCCTGCTTCGAAGAGATTGGCTTTGACCTTTTCGTTGGTGGGGGTGTAGAACCACCCATGGCCTCTAACATAGTATCTATGTCACACTTCGACCGCATCACAGCAACGGCTCGCTAAAATAGAGAGAAATCATGAACGCTTACCGCTGGGAAGTTGTGCTATGAAAATCAACTAAATATGGAATTATAAAAATTACCGTCAATTCAGTAGATAGAACCCCTAGCCTTCGTTTAATGGGAGCCACGTCGAGGTTGAACAAGTAGTCCAAAGAAGCAGAATATTCCACTTGCGACAATTTTCTGAAAGATTTTTGCCATCGTCTTCAAAATAGGAAAAGCCATGGGGAAACTCACCCTGGTAATCGTTCTTTATGATAAAGAGAGATTTTCTCTTTGTGTAGCTTCTTCACCACACCAGCCATTTTACTCACAAGTTCTTCGTCCTTAATGAAACCTCATTCGAAAAATGATCAAAACATCAACGTAAGTAAACATCAAAGTGTTTTTTGTACCTCCAAACGACCAATATCCACCCCCGTATATTGGAGATGGTGGCAAATCAATTCGGCTAGAACTCCATTGGTGCTTTTCTCACTAGAAGAAGAGTAAGTAGAACTCGAATCTGTGCCCATCGATCTATTGCTGCTATCTAGAAGAAAACATGAACATATGTTAATTGTATTACTGCAAACAACGACTAAACCATACAGGAGAAACTTACCTTTATCTGCTGCTTCACAAGGAGGTTCTGTTGTTCCATTTTTTTGCCTCCCGGCGAATTTCCCCATACAGACACATCAGAACCTATAAACATTTACATGAAAACCAACAGATACTAGCAGAAGTGTAATAGAAAGCGTCTCCTGCACTTCACGGTAGAATAATATCCCTCCATATAAGAACAGATGAACATAAAAAATGCCTGCAGAAAGCTAACCATTTTCAAGAGTTGATCAACAGCAGCATTATCAGACGACACTGAAGAGCCCGATGTAGTCGTTGAATTAGTCGGACATGGAGAGTAGTCACTGGGGTTATTCGACAATGACGTCCCAGCACGTGCATCACTTGCTTGACCTCCTGCCTTCAGCTTATCGGCAAATACTGTCGGGTACAGTCCCCTAGAATACTACTCATAGCAATGTTGTGGAAATTTGAGCAACTACCAACGTACAGACACATCTAATATTCCAACTAGAGTCACACCTTGCAACAACCTTTGTATTTGCGCAATGGCCGATGTCAGAGTCTGCGATTGGAGCGATCGGTCAAATGCCAATCGCGCGACCATCGCGCGATTCGCGCGACGATCGCGCGATTGACATGAGTCCCATCATGACCAATCGCTCCAATCGCGCGATGGGCGCGATCACTCCCGTTGTGGCTGGCGCGCCCCTCTCGATCGATAGCTCAGTCAACGTATCGATCGAGAGGGGCGCGCCAGCCACAACGGGAGTGATCGCGCCCATCGCGCGATTGGAGCGATTGGTCATGATGGGACTCATGTCAATCGCGCGATCGTCGCGCGAATCGCGCGATGGTCGCGCGATTGGCATTTGACCGATCGCTCCAATCGCAGACTCTGACATCGGCCAATCGCGACAAGATCGCGGCGGGCTCTAGCCACCGTAATAACTTCGTATAGCAGTTCGTGTGAGCAAGTAAACATATATATGTGATCGTGTGACCCCTTGGTGATCAGCACAATCGCATGACCGATACGTGTCTGCTCCACGAAATCGGACGATCACAAGATCGCGGTCTTAACGGAGCGCAATATCAATAGAACAGTACTAAAAAATCACCCAATATTTCTTCGGCAAACGATGAATGTCTGGCTTAGGAATGACTCCATCCTCTTTCTCAGCAGCTGAACGTGTCAGGAAGAAAACTTTACTAGGCAGACCCATAGGGAGAAGCATGTCTGAAAAGTGTACATCAAAAAATTTATAGCCTAGCAGACCTGTGGAAAAATATCCAAGGAACACACATTTCGGCTCTATACAAGTAGTTGGGCACACCAAGTTTTTCACACATGTCGAGTGCTGCCTGCTCCCCACCCCAACCAGATTAGCATACGACCCCCTGGCTCCTCGAAGTCCCCTATTCTCGTGACAGTATAATTAGCGGGCAGCAGTCCCACCTACACACATTTATGTTAAAAAATGCGGCGTGCCCACCCTACTTGTATAGCACCCACATTTCATCCGAATTTTGTGGATGATAGTGTATGCCCTCTACATGAAATTCTACTGATAGCCATTATTCCCGTATCTGAATGCAATGCTAGTAGTCACCTGCTAACTATGAAAGGTGCGGCCGGTCTGCTCTGCTACCTTAATTTTCATTAACTTTGTGTTTTTGTAATTAATTTTTTCGCTGTAGCCTGGTATCAAGCCGTCTTACCCCCTTCGTATTGCTTTTATTTCCAATAATTTATGCCCGTGCTTACTTCTGCCTTACTCAGCATACTTTGTTATACGATTTTATAGAACAAACAAAAGCTGAGTTGGGAATGAAATGGTGCCCCGGATAGCGTAACTTGTAGCGCACTTGCCCGGTAAGCAAGAGGTGCGGGTTCGAGTCAAGTCTGGGGCGAAAGTTTTTTGTTTTGTTCAGCATTATTGTGAAATAGAAAAAAAATAAATGAAAACATTTGGATAGAACGCACCTGTTTCCTCATGTTTCTGCACGCCCACATAAGACGTTGCTCACCCGTTTTTTCATCAGTTTCCAGCATCAAGGGCTCCAGGGGAGCGTCACAGTAACAACATGTAAGGATCTCCCTTTCGATCTAAAGGAAAACATTGTTGAACTTTTCAGAGACTAGAATATACCAGAGCAAATGAAAAAAATAAAGTAGATAGGAATTTCCAAAAGAATAGCATAGCATAGCATTACTGAAACTCGCGTTCGAATTACTTAGACCTTCCTCACCGAATAATAATCGAAACACCATACGTGAACAGGTCAGATTGATATTGCGATGGGCCAACTAACAAGCAACAAAGCTGTGACATAACATGCAATGATTTGAATAAGGATGAGTGATATGTGAAGAAACAAATTTTTTCTGCTTGTGCACTAAAAATATCTATTTCGGACCTGCTCTCAAGTATAATAAAGAAGGTTGATGCAATCATCTACCAACTGGTTTCTCGAATGCTATAAAAAGTGGAAATCAGACTCCTTAAGAAATTGCAATATTTCTCAAAAGCGCCAAAACAAGGTGAACAAAACACGGAAAAGCCTTTTCACCTTCAATATCGAGCTAAGGAGAAGGTTTGGTCAAAATATTCATTCCTTCCTGAATTTTCTTTAGACTTATTAAGAAGGACCCCATATTTGAAAACGATGAAGGGCTCTAAAAATTTCACTCAGGCAGCCGTATCAACTCACCCTGTACACGGAAAGCAGCTAAAATATCATTTGATTGAAGTCACTGAGTCAGTGTATGCTTTTGAGCCCTTCGAGAAAAACCGTTCCAAGTGTTTTTCTAGAGGCGAGGATGAGGTTTGTATGTTCTGTTACACGAACAACGGCAGCCACTACAAAATGTCATTCCAAAACGAGCCTAGAGGTTAGCTCACGAGAAAAGGCCCCAGCTCTGTCAATAGAGGAATGCTCAAAAAGTACCCGATTCAGAACACATCCTCTCGGATATACAGTAATTCCTCAGGTGTTCGCTTTTCATCTACAAAAATGACCGACGCTATTCGCCAGAAGTTTGCCATTTCCACAGTGACGCTTTGCATGTG